TTTGGTGCTTATCTTTTTTTAATCTAATTAGGTACTTGAATTTGACTTTTAAGTTCAAATTAATATCTAAACTTAGCTTCATGGTTCAAGTAAGTTATTTAACGTAAGTACCAATTTGGATTTGAAAATGAAGTTCGAGTACCAATTTGAATCAACAAGTCAAGTTCAAATTTCTGATTGGCCAAAAAAGTAAGTTTAGATACTAATTCAAACCTTAAAATTGAATTCAAATATATTTTTTATTCAATTTGAGGTGATTGTAAAATGTTATCTATTTGAAAGACTATCAATCATTTGATAATGAACGCTTATATACTCTTACAGAATTATACTCGAACTCATGACCTCAAATGATAACAATCAAACCTTTAATCACTAGAATCGCTTGATTCGCACAGATATTTAATTAAATTATGAAATTAAATATTAAATTCAAGGGTAAAGTACACAAATAGTCCTTTAACTTTAAGGTGATGCTTTGTTGAGTCCTTTGACTATTAAAAATTACAAAATGATCCCTTGACTATAAGATATTGCTTTGTTTTGTTCCCTGACTACAAACAAAAGGCTCCCCTAGCTACAAACAATCCCTTCAAGAAACTCCCCATGGCTTGTGACTCCCTCGGGAAGAGACATATACTTCCTCAGCTAAATCGTCATGTGAAAAAGCGTTATGAACATCCATTTGACAAAGACTCCACTGAAAAATAGAAGCCAAAGCAAGGACAAGTCTGCAGTGACTAACTTAGCTACCGAGAGAAAGTAGAATTGTAATCAATACCCTCTTTTTTATTGTAGCCCTTCGCCACAAGACGAGCCTATAGCACTCGATCGTTCCATCAGAGTTATAATTGACATTATACACCCATTTACATCCAATGGGTCTCTGTCCAGGGGGTAAGGAGACTACAGACCACGTGTTGTTCAATTCTAAGGCTTTGATCTCTTCTTTCATGGCCTGAACCCAGAGCGGATTTTGAATGGCCTCATGAAAATTCATAGGTTCAGAAACAGAAGCAGCAGAGGAAATAAAGGCTTGAGTGTGATATGGTAAATGAGAACATGAAACAAAATTAGAAATAGGATACTCACATGGATTAGAAGAAGATTGATAAAGAGTGCACATAATTATTAAGCCAATTGGGATATTTAGATGGACGAGAAGATTTTCTAGGAACATTGTCAACGACCAAGGGTTCATTTGAACCAGGACCACTAGTAACTAACACGGGTGGATTGGAGTCTGGTGCAATTGCTTGAGTAAGAGAAACTAGTGAAGAATTAGGAACCAGGATACTGTCAAGGGAATAAGAGGAAGGGGAAGAATCTGTTGTGGGTGAAACATGCTAAGGAGGTGGAAAAGAAACTAAGAATTCAGAATCAGAGAAAAAGGGTTGTGAAGGAAAAATAACAAGATGATTTTTAAAGAGGCATATGAAAAGGAAACACTTGCTCAAGAAATTTAACATCCCTACTAACAAAAAAAATTTACCCTCCAAAGGACTTTGCCAATTTAAAGGCATGTGGTTTATGATAAAAAAAACATCAAAAGGACTTTGCAATTTAAAACCGAAGAATGAAGATTGATAATATAACAAGCAGTCTGCACACAATCTATCCAAAATTTAACAGGAACATTTGAATGAAACCTAAAAGCAGGAGTGACTTTAAGAATATGTTCGTGTTTTCTTTCGACCACTCCATTCTGTTGAGGAGTCCGCACACAGGAGCTTTGATAAACAATACCAAGACATTCATCAACTCATACTCATTATCACTTCGAATATATTTGACAGTCATGGAAAAAAGATTTTGAACATAGGAAAGGAATTGTTTAAGGAATAACACAACATCACTCTTCAATCTAAGTACACCCAACATATTCGAGAATGATCATCAACTATGGTAAAAAAGCCTATGACAACTATGAGTAGAAGTTCCATAGGGTCCCCATAAATCCAAGTGTATTAACTAAAAAGGTTCAGCAGACCTAGTAGTGCTCAGAAGAAAAGGCAGTCGAAATTGTTTAGCCAAAGAAAACATCGGGCAATCATGCATCTTATCATTAACCAAGCTAGCGAGTCTTTAAAAAAGGAACACGATGTAAATTGGCAATAGCTGCATGCCCAAGACGAGCATGCCAAAGCTTGGTATTATTATTAGAGAAAAGTAAACAAGTGGATGATACAGACTCAACAGACTATTTACCAAAACCAGTATCACTAGGCAACTCATGTTAAACACTAAATTGTGAAGGAAATGAAGGAACAATATTACAATGGACAGAGAAAAACAACCAGAATCAAAGAGTGAAAAAATATAACCCATGTGACTCATTACCAATCCCCATCATTGTTCCATTTGAGAGATCCTGCAAAACACAATGGATCAGGGTAAAAAATAATACGACAATTAAGGTCTCGGGTTAATTTTAAAATGGAAAGCAGGTTATGGGTAAAAGGGGTAGAAAGAGGACATTCGAAATAACAGTAGTAGGGTTAAACCAGTAAGAACCAGTGTGAGTGATCGGTGTTGTTCTTCCATTGAGTAAAGTAACCATTCTGGATTCTAAAGCACACGAAATAGGAGGGATCACATGCTTAAAATCAAACAATATGTGATTGGTAGCACCTGTGTCAAGGATCCACACAAGAGAATCATGAGAAGCAAGTATATTTTCAGTAACCATACCTGTTGAACTAGCACTTGAACCAACCAATGGTGCTTTGTTCAAAAGACTTAGAATCTGTTGATACTATTATTGGGTGAAAACTGGAGTAGCAGACGATCCCCCCGAATCAAGAGATCCTGCACCAGAACCATCCACCAGATCAGAGTTAACCACCAAAGCTGCTTGCGAGTCTTTCCTCTTGGTAAAATTAAAATCAGGAGGAAAACCATCAAGCCGATAATAGTTCTCCCGCTTATTACCCCAGATTTTGCAATGATCACATACTCTAGCGAACCACCTATGATTACCACCGGATGAACTGGAAAACAGGGCAGAAGCTTCACTAATAGACACGTTCCTAGAAAGATGAAGGCACTGAGCCTCTTCTTGCACTGTCATCGAGTATGCCTGGTTAACTTGGCTCCGTATTGTTGCGTAAGTCTCATTGAGACCCATGAGGAACTGAAAAAGATTTTGCTGAGCCAAATGGTGAGTATTCTGTTGTGCAGCATCACCATGACAAACAGAGAAGGGAACAAAGGCGTTGTACTCATCCCACAAGAGTTTTAATCGAGTGAAATAAACCGAGATAGTAGATTCCCCCCAAGTCATTAGAGTGATTTCCCGATGAAGGATAAAAAAAAACCTTAGACCCATCTACTTTAGCAAATATTTCCTTCAAATCATTCCAACTCAAGGCGGGATTGGTTGCAAAGACGATACCTGCTGAGAGCTCCTTGCTGGCCGAATTCAAGATCCAAGACAAGACGATCGCGTTACAACGTTCCCATCGTGAATGCAAGAGCTCTGGATAATCTTCTTTTCTGCAATCTCCGTCACCGAACTCGAGTTTATTTTTTGCGAGCAATGCAATTCGTAAAGAATCTGCTCCAAACACTATAATTTTTAAGGCCATCAAGCTGATGAGAGATGAGAAGTGCGCCAGGAGTGTCGGAAGAATGAAGGTATAAAGGGTGATTGAAATCCACGGTGTTTGCCATCGCCGGAGGCACGAGGAAATGAAAAACCTAAAGAGAGGCCATAACTCGTGATACCAAGTTAAAATATGTTTCTACGCAATACTTCATATTCCATGTATTATTATTCATCTGTACATACATTTATATACAAACTAATAAACTGCAAAGCTAACAAACTATTAACTAATTAACTGGAAATAAATTTTTTTTTATGTTCATTTAATAAACGAACGAACACGAATAAATACGTGTTCAATTCATTTATGTTCACAAACAAGCTTGTTTATCGACTCTTTCATTTATGTTTATTAATAAGCTCGTTTATACGATTCTCCTTTTTCATTTATTTTTTTATATTATAAATATTAGTGAAGGTAATGATTAAATTGGACACACTGTGAAATTTAGAATTTAAATTGTGAATCTTAAGGAACTTAAACACCAATGACTTAATTTTACCATTTTTATCTTGCAATGCAAACGATCCCTCTCTATCAATGGTTATAATCTATTTACGTCAACGACAAAGATTTATTTAATTAATACAAGATCCCATAAATCAAGGGATTGTATCTACAATATATTCTCTTGACTAAGGAAACTCATCCCGATCCTATCTAATTAAATCCATTAGTAGGATTCTTTCTTTGGACAAATGTTCACATTGTATATGATAATATGCCCCCGTAACATCTTCTTGATTTGTTGTCTTTTGTCATATTTACCGAGTTCATGTGATCATCTTCAGATATGATGTCACTTTCCTTTTCTGCACGGTCAATGTGAACGGGCTCCTGTCAAAGAAAATAAAATTATGAATATTAAACAAACGTTAAACGCACATGTTTGTGAACATATAAACATATATGTTTGCGAACGTAAAAAAACATGTTCGTGGACAATAAATAAACGAACATTAACATATTCAAAAATAAATAAACGAATACAAACACGATATTAAAAATCTAAACGAACACGAACCGAACATGAACACCTTAAAAAATAAACGAGCATACACAAATACAACCTTATCCGTTCAAACTCGATTCATTTACGGCCCTAATATTAAGAAAATACATTGCCATCAAATGTAAAACCTTTTCTTATCAATGTAGCTTTCTTGTTCACAATGCTGGCTGCCATCTGTTGAAACATTCTTCTATGAACAAAGAAAAGGCATACACTTCAATTTGGATAAAACAAATTTAGCCAACTAAAATCAGTGCAAGAAAACATTTTTTCCCCTTCTACTAAAGGCGAAACCTCGGAAAACACGACCGAAAACGAGACCGAAAACAAGTACTTTGTACGACTTTTGTGTCTTTTTATTGTTTGTCAATCCACCCGACATGGATGAAAGCTTGAGAAGTGCTGCTCAAGAAGGAAGTGTTAGTGACTTGTATACATTAATTCAGAGAAATGGAAATGTTTTGAAGCGCTTCAATGAGGTCGAGTTTATCGTCACGACGTTGCATATAGCTGCATCAAAAGGGTGCATGCGGTTCGCAATGGAGATGATCAGCTTAAAGCCATCGTTCGCTAGGAAGCTAAACCAACAAGGTTTAAGCCCCGTTCACCTCGCGGTCGAGAAAGGGCACGCAGAGACGGCGCTACGTCTCTTGGAAATCGATAGTGATCTCTCTCACGTCAACGGGAAGGACGGTGAGACCCCCCTGCACTACATTAGTGAAGTCGGAAACCATGACGGTTTGCTTGATAGATTTCTAGGGGCCTGCCCTGACAGTATCCTGGATGTTACGACTCGAAATCACACTGCTTTGCATAGAGCGGTGGAAAATGAAAGATTGGATGTTCTCCGAGTCCGAATCGAATCACCGGAAAGTGGTGAATCGGAAGGACGAGGACGGAAACACTGCACTGCACATAGCTGCCAGCAATAATCAACTCCAGGTTTGGCTCATCCGATTTAGTGATTAGTACTACATACATTCTTTCGTACATAGAAGACATAATTAACTGATTCCACATGTTTTCGGTAATGGTCTTTATTTCGACCATGTTCATGTAAATTAATATACTATGTATTATATATTCGACCTATTGTCCAAGTAAATTAATAATTTTCCTTTTCAAAGGTTCTCAATACACTATATATTCGACCTCTTGTCCAAGTAAATTAAGATTTATCATCTTAGGGGCTGTTTGTTTACTTCAAAATAATTAAGCGCTGAATGATTCAAATATTGAATGATTCAGAGGCTCTGTATGAATTAGCTCTGAATGTGACATGTTGTTTGATAATGGCTCTGAATCATTCAGAATGTACTTTTGTGCTGAATCATTCAACATTGTTTTACTGAATCAGTTAGCACTGTTTTACTGAATAAATCAGCACTGTTTGGTTGAATCAATCAGCACTGAATCATTCAGAAGTGTAAAACAAACGCGTTGAATGGTTCAACATTCAACGCTGAATAGTTCCATTAAGAAGCAAACAAACAACCCCTTAAACATCACAATAGAGTTAGTATTATCTGATCCGAACTCACATTTGCAAAAAATAAAATCTGATCCTATAGGATCGTGTTAGAACCCGTCATATTTAAGTCTCATGTCCAACCGTATTCTTATTTCGAACAAGCTAACTTATTAGATCGATATTTTTTTTTTTTTTTGAATTTCTCATCAACACGAGGATGGACATATTTATTTGAAAACAAAAACGAAATTCGTGCTCAAAATCTAATGAGAAAATAGCAAATGTAAACGGAGAAAATGGTACAAAGCAACAATATGAAGACCGGAGAGGAGATAATGGACTGGCAATCAGTCTATCTTTGCAATGACAGCATCAACAACTTGTTGCGTGGTGCTTTCTCCACTGAGATCTTTAGTCCGGTGCTTACCCTCCAGAATTACATTCTTCACGGCGTTTTCGAGTCGATCGGCGAATGAAGGGAACTGGAGGTGCCTCAACATCATGGCGGAGGAGAGAAGCAAAGCCACCGGATTTGCCGTCTTTTGCTCGACCATCTTTTGTTTTCCTACATTCCCCGCCGAAGCACCTTGCTCGAAAACGGCGTGTTCAGCTCCCACGTTGCCTATGGTGAGCAAAATATTTTATGAGAAATTATTAGTATGAATGAGACCACATTGGTTAATACTTGGTACCTCCGGGCATAACACCATTGCCTCCAGCAATGCCTGCTGCTGTATTCGCAACAAGATTTCCATAAAGATTAGGAGTAACCTAAACAAACAGGAGAGGGGACGGTTAATGTGTCGTACCCAAACTAGGAGATGATAATTATATGAACAATATCATGCACATGCATGAATGATTGCCAAGCCAGGGTGCAGTTTGAGATTAAAAGATGAAGGGAGACAAAAAACAAACACAAAAACTGACATACCATGACATCAAATTGTTCAGGCTTTGAAACAAGTTGCATGCAACAATTATCGACGATGATCTCGTCGTACGTGATTGTCGGATATTTGGTAGCAACATGACGGCAAGACTCTAGAAACAACCCATCGGCAAGTTTCATGATGTTGGCCTTATGGACAGCAGTAACCTTCTTTCGATTGTTCAAATAAGCATATTCGAATGCATACTTTGCAATCCGTTCTGAACAAAACTTGGTTATCACCTAAACCAGAAAACAACTAAAAAAGTTACCCAATAAGAAAATCTTCAAAGTTCTTAAAAAAAAATTATATTGCTAAAATTAGATGGTTAGTTCCTATTTTATTTTTTTAGCATTTTAGTCCTAATGTTTCAATTTTTATCAAAGACATAATATCAAAATATGCCCTTACCGTTTAACTAAAAAGTCATTTTGGCCTTAAATATTTTACTCTAAGGGGAAAAACCCTTATCGTTCGATTAAATAGTAACTTTATGTCTTATTTTTAGAGTATTTTGGATCACAACGTTTTATTTTAGGGAAAAATTGTCCCTATTTTATAGCACTGACTAAAGGTTTCCATTCACGGAGGGGCCTTTCTATCCCAAATGAAACGTTGGGGGACCAAAATACTCCCCAAAAATTAAGGACCAAATTGAATATTTAATCAAATGCTAGAGACATTTTTTTCATTATGCATTTGTCAAAGTGATCTAGGTTGGATGGAAACCATTATTGTTTAACGGTCTATACATGTTACTGACGTAATATTTTCACGTGTGTTTAATTATTGATGTATCACATGTCACATATTATCTTGGATGATATGATACATGTCACATCATGATCTTAGATGAAATGTCACATGTAACATCATTATCTTTGATGACACGTTAGTAATTTAGCATATGTGAAAAATGGCACGTCAGTAACATACGTTGATAGTTGACTAATGATTTTCATCTAGTAGGGGTCATTTTAACCAAATTTTGAAACAAGGAGAAGTGCTTCAGAAAAAGAACAGAGACCAAAATGATTATTTGAGAAAACAATGAGGGTTACTTCTCCAAAAGAAAAAAGCAATTAAAGTTAAAACCTTAAGGCTCTCGACAACGCCAGGAATGACCTCATGTTCGAGACCCGAGTATTCCCCTTCTGTGTTCTCCCTAATGACCACGATATCCACGTTTTCATGTCTGGTCGGCAACCCTGGTAAATTACAACAATCGACCAATGAAGCGTACAAATCCAATTCCCTCCTCAACTGCACATTCAACGAGCTAACTCCACCTCCCATCCGCGTTCTCAATCCTCCTTTCAGACAAACTTTGTTCTTCTTGATCGAATCTATCACTTCCTGCGGCATCCACTCCATGTCGCCGCAAACTTCGTACCTCTCGAAGTAAATCGGCGCCTGCATCGCCTCCATTACTTGTTCCACAGCATTTGTGACCAGTGGACCGATCCCGTCCCCCGGGATCAGTGTTATCGGTCTCGGGGCTCCGTCTCCGGGACGGGGCATGTAGGTGACGGCTCGAGTTTGAGGCTTGTGGATCATAAGGGTTTTCAAAAGAGAAACGGATCTACGTGAAGTCGACATTCTCGATGGAGGATTTATTGGGATCAAATTAAGGTTTTGCAAGGTTGAGAGAAATATAGAGTTGTAGAAAGAAGGCCATTGACGAGAGAAGCGGAATGTTAGAGAATAACAAGGCAAGGAGCCCTTTTATTTAAGGATTTCATACATTTGACATTGTCATGCATTAAAAAAAAACCCTGAATTTGTGGATCCACTGAATTTTATAAATCTCGTAACATTATCTATACAATTTTTATACTTTATAAGATTTAATTTATGTCTTTCGAAGCACAATCTTAATATAAAGTCATCTTCAATGTTACGATCTCTAAATATAATATTATAAAAATTGTGAAATATGTGAGTCCAACATATTTACCAAGGACGAAACGTTGTTGCTGATACGACACCAACTATAAGTTATGTTGTTAGAAACATTAGGAGCACTTCCCTTGTTCATGGGTTGATTATGTTTGCAATGCTCATGTGAGTATGGGTATAGTATCCCACATTGGGAGGAAAAATCCTTTGCGAAGGGTATTTAAAGTCTCCTCTTCCTTCACTTGTTAAATGTGGATAGACAATTCCTTGCACGTGTGTCGTTGTCGTCCAATTGGCTTGTCTTTGTTCGGTTTAGTTTATGTTAATGTCAAACGAACCGAAAAAATACGAACGAGTGTATATTCATGTTTATTCGTTAAAATGATGAATGAACATAAAATTAATTGGGTTTATATTTGAGAAGAGTTTTTTATTTTTCAATTAATTTTAGTATTTATATTTTCTTTAATTAATTTGAGTATATTTAATTGGGTTTTAAAATATTAATAGATTTAAGGTTAAAATTTATTAGGTTTTAATATTTCAAACTGATCTAGAGATTAAGCTGAATATAAACGAACGAACATAAATAAACGAAAGGATTACCAAACGTTCACGAATATAAATGAACGAACGAACCATTTGTTCGTGTTCGTTCATTTAATTAAACAAACATAAAATCTTGTTCATGTTCGTTCGTTTAATAAATAAACGAACATTCAGTCGAACGGTTCACTGAACGTTCGGTTCGTTTCCAGGACTAACGAGCGTATCTAGACGTTTAACAGCTGTAATAGATGTGCATTTCTATAGGAATAATTGTTGGTATCCTACAGAATGTATCTAGACGTTTAAGAGGCCATATACACCCGTTTGTTATATCAGACACCAAATTAATTACTAATTTTAAATCAGAGTTTGTGGAGGGCTGATTTACAATCATTTGACAAGCTGTTGTAATAGTTATTTTCCATTTGAATTTAGTTATTTTCCATTTGAATTTGGACAGGTTTGGATCCAGATTCAATAAGCTATAATCAATTCATTTCAGGTAATTTTCAATTATTAAATACGTAAATAAAATCTGAATTTATTTCGTATCTTTAGTTGGATATTTTTAATCCCGAGCTAAGCCTATAAATAGAAGATTATTTTGAGTTTTTCAAATCATCTAAAACACAATCTCTTTTATGCTTTCAAAAGCTCTCCACTTTTTCTAAAGTCTTCCGTTTCTATTTCTGGTGCTAAGAGAAGAACAGTTCGATCTTCGAGTGTACGATTACCGAAGATACCGTGTGTTAACCTCGAGGGACGACCACCTACTACTACGATTACACATCGAGGCAAAATTATTTCTAAGGTAATGATTTCATACCACGACACAGTTTACTCCTTACTATTTACTTTATTTTTATTATTATCCAATCAGTGCTAATTGTTTAATTTTGTAGTCTACATTCCAACGGACTAAGCTGCACACAAGATTATTGATGGTGTTGTTGATAGCAACATTTGAATTGTGGCGACTATAAATGATTTACCCCTTCTGATTTAGACGAAGTGTCACAACCAATGGTTTATGGTGATGTTATAAATGGTCAACATCATATGATTCTTAAAAATATCAAGT